CAATTACCACACTTTTTTTCCTTGTTCCGATCGTCCACGTCACTTCAAGACCCTTTTTAATTGCTCACAACTGTGCTTCCACAGAGTTATAAAAAATGTAAATCACCATCAACGATTTTTTCTAATGATTGATTTGTGTGTAGAGATATTGCTTTTTCAGCCATTGTTGATCAAAACAGTACGAAACTTTTGAATTGGCGCTATTTCAACATGGCGGCTGCGCTTACGCTCATCACGTGATGAAAAGGTATATTATCCTTCCTCCATGGTATATAGTTCCATAGATAGGTGATATTTTTAGGTTAAGAAGCTTGATAAGTGCTGATTTGATGTAATTAGTAAGTATTTACAATTTAATTTAATAAGGTGTTAGATTTGTTTAAGGACTTTGTTTATCATTGTTTTCTTATAGCCTTAACGAAATATAATTTCATTTTGGATCGATTTTCAATTCTTTTTTAATATACCTATTTGTAGCAAAACATGTCTGGCCCGGGTAAAATTAAGTATTCTTGTTCAGCCCCTAATTGTTATTATTCTAATATTTAATAGGCTGCGGTTATTCAAATAAAACCTTTTTTCATTTTCCTTTCGATATTAAAATTCGCAAGAATGGTTTGAGAATTTAAATTTATCTTTAGATAATGTAACGATAGTCTAATTTATTCAAAACACACTATTTACAATTTATTTAAGATGTACTAATTAATTTATATAATACACACTAACTAACAATTCTAATTTATTTATTACACTTTAATTTTTCATTCCAATACTCTGAACTAAACTAAACTGTGCGCCGATGAGTCGGCCAATTCTGTGCTCGTCGTTTCTGGGCGCTCCCGAAAATTCCATCTCTATGACTCAACGGCAGTTTCTCAAAGCGTTAGCGACATACCTAGAACATTTCATCGTTACTTGTATATTGAGACACGGTCCGACTGTTTTCACACGTCAGCGTTGCTTCGATCATGAATCGAGTGGCACACTTCCAAGGTCGCGCGTACACAAGGTAGGCTTTAGGAATTTCATGACATTGCCCCCTCCTTAATAGTTCCTCCTGGAACTAAAACTGAATGGTTGTATTTGCAACTGGATCCTCTTTTACAATTTCCAGTTGCATGGAAGTAACAAGGGATAGTCTTCGTTATAACCTGAACGTTGGGACAATGGCTGCAGACCAGTATTTCAACCTGGGTATCTTGAAAGATTGCTTCCAACATATTTCTTATGAGCTTTAGGATTGACACGTTGCAGCGCCAATTTGTAATAGATGACGTTACCTTGTGATAAAATGTTAATTTCAAAACACTTATAAGAGATTTTGACTAACTCAGAGAAATTTTACACCAAACATTACTTACCTTTAAAAATAAAAAAAAAAAAGAAATGAGCACATTGACCATAGTTTTCTCAGTCGTGAATTCGGCTTTTATAAATAGACACCTTTGAGATAATAATTTTCTAGGAGAGTTGGGCACCAATAATTCTCTATTTTTAATTTTTGAAAGCTAGTGATAATTATAAACTCTAGCTTTATCAAAAAGAAATTAATAAAAACTTATACAAAATTTAATTTGAGTAAAAGAGAATTGTTGTAACCTTTAAAAAAATAAGATTCAACATATAAACTTATAAAAATAAATTAGTTTATTCAAATAAAAAAAAACTGTTCAGGAACAAGTCAATATTAACAGCTGATTGCTCTCTATCTTTGGCATAGCTAGTTTCTGTATATTGGACTCCATTACATGCTCCCTCAGACTGAGTATTGCTTCCCATACATCATACCAAATAGAAAAGATAACGCAATCCATCTTAAAGTTTTAATGCTTTTCCAGGGGCTGGTAACTGATCTTGAAGTTCTGGCAATCCACCAAACTTCTTTCGGAATACAGATGCCAGACCTCGGGCGTCGTAGATTTTGGCGGAAGTGCTATGGCCCATCGAGTAGTCTTTTGGAATCGTGAGCAAGTCTTGTTGTTGCTTGGTTGTAACACCATATCTTGCTTTTTTGGTACCTCCATATGCACCCATAAATTTTTCAAAGACATGGTCAGGTGTTTCTTGAAACTGGTTTACTTCTTCTTCCTCTTCATGGTCACCCTCAAATGGCGCCAGTCGGTTTTGGTGCACTACCTTTGGTTTACCGTTTGGGATCTTATTCGGTAAATGACATCATTGATTTTTTTTTATGGGATACAGACCTTCCCAAGACCTTTGAAGCTTCGGAGAATAACTAACTCTTTTGTCTTTTTGTTACAAAAATGTCACGATATCGTCGAAGAAATTCTTTTATTTTCTCTTTCTCTAATTGATTCAGAGCTTGACCAGCAACTGCAATCATTTGCTCGAATTTGTCATTGGAATTATCAGAAGTTGTTGTCTGATGAATTATGGAAGTTACTGGTACACAAGCTCCGATTCTGGTCTCTTTCCTGATGGTAATTGGGTGATCATTAACGTTTATAAGACGAACTGGAATCTCTTTAGCAGTCGTGACCAACCCCTTTCCGATTAGAATTCTTCGTCCGACCTCTTCATCGTAATTCCAAGGTTCCATCATGACAGGTGTTCCTTTTTCCATAGTTTCTTGAAGCAGAGCAGAGTTTACAGCTCCTTCCAATTTTAACTTCAACTCCACGTCATGGCACTTTATTTCACCGTCCTTGACCAGTTCTGAATGTTGCAGTTCTTCTATCTTCTTTTCCATCTCTTTAATTTTCTCCTCAACGGAAGACATTATTTTCTCCTCAACGGAAGACACTCTTTCCTCTTTTCCATAGAAGACATTTTGTTTTCCAAGTCAGAAGAAATATCATCTTTTAAAGAATATATATCAGAAAAAACTTTAGTTTCTAAAAAAGAGATTTCGTTTTTCACGGAAGACATATCAGAAGATACCTTTTCTTCTAAGGAAGAAATTTTACTATCTAAGGAAATAATGTCACTCACGTTATTCTGGCAAAAAGTATCTCAAACCTTCTCGAAATGTCTACATTTTTCTTGACGTGCAATGACATTTCTCAGCAGCATGTTACGGTTATTAGCCTCGTGTTCTGTGTAGACTTACACATTTTATTCAAGAAAATTGTTTAAAAACCAAAAATATATATTTGGGCTTCAAAGGGTTGAGAGAAAGATAAGAAAAGGTCCAGGGACATATTTTAAAAGAGGCGACCCAGTATAGCTGTACAATTCGAATCGTAGAAAATGACTTTGGCAGAAACTGCAACGGAACTGGGAAGGCCCCTACACCGTCCTCAAGAAAATCAATGACCTGATCTACTGGATTCAGTTGTCAGCGGGAAGTAAACACAAAAGGTAGTTCACATTGAAAAGTTTGCATCATACCGTGGTCCAGATCCTCCCCGTTGGCTTCAACCAGGTCCCAGTAATTAAGTTATTCGGGATTAATAATTATAAAAAAGAGAGTAATTTTACCCTGCGTCCTGCAGTAATCTGCGGTTGTTATAAGTGAACGTACGAATAAAAGAAGAAGTGCAATGTCACCCACCACCCTAAAGTGTGCTGCGGTTGTTATAAGTAAAAGTACGAACAAAAGAAGGGGAGTGAACAGTCTAGAAATATCTGGAGGGCTAAATATATTTTCATTACGTGTCTGGAAATATCTGGAACTTTCGAGAAAATCAAGGGAACTATATAAGGCGATGATTTTGAAGTCAGATTTCAGTTTTTAAGATAGCCATTGTACTGATGTTAATAGTTGTATAGTTAATTATTGTAAAAGTTTGAGTTTGAAAATAAATTAAGTTTACCAAGAACTAGTGCACCAATATATTAGATGTGTCCATTTTAAGACAATATTTAATTTTTGAAAACTTACATAATAATTCTGTCGTTAGATGGATGGCAAAATCATGAGTGTTTATCCGATTTTCAACATATACTTACCACCTGCTGAACTTCTATACATTGTTAAAATTATATAATATGCGAATACCTTTCATGTATAAATATACTGTGAATATTTAAAACCAGATATGACATATTTATAGTATTTGGAAGTGGACAAAATACTCATCAAAATTACATAGGTGTCTTGCTTACTTATTTTTTATCTTTTCCAACATTCCTGCCATCTAATCAATAATAGTTTTGAAATTAGCATAAAATACTTATATACTATTTAGAATAGTTACAAAAAATGAGTGTTCACCTGAAATGGCATCACGAATATTCGTTTGGATGATGTTGTTCACATTCTGATCCCATTTTTTTCCGTTAATTCGTATATCCAATTGTTTGGTTATTTTGAGATCCAGCAATTCATCTTCAACTACTTTGTTACAACTACCATTTAGCTAGTATAAAAAAATTGATTTGGAGTTTTTTATTTAGTTTTTCAATAAGTTTTCAGTCATATATAGGTGATGTGGAAGGCATAATTGAATTAGGTTAGGATTCTTTTACGAGTGAATTTGTGATATTAATGACTTATGCGATTTGCTAATATATAGGATAGAAGCTAATTTACTTAGTGACTTATTATAATAATTCAATAAGAAAGTATTACCTCAGCACCAAAGCTACTGGTTATCAAAACTACGAAACAATATATTAATATGTTCATATTCTGGCACTTTTAGTACAATTGAAACAAAACTAATTCTGACAACTTTAAATCGAAAAATGTATTTATAAATATAAATTAATTCTCTAATCTGTATATTTTTGTTAATGATGCGTGTTATTTCAAAATAAATTATTTAATTTTATTGCGAATTTTCGGGTAAACGTTGAACTTAAAAGAAAAGTTATCAAATATTAAAATTAATTGGAATTAATGACAATAAATAATAAATGATAAGCGAAGGTGAGGGTCACCCAGTCATCATATATACCTTTTTAGTTTTATAAAATTATGCCAAAAGGCGATAATTAGTACGTTTCAAACATAAAAGATAGTATTAATTTCGGTTTTATTCATTGGTTAAAAATACAAAATATATTATTGGATCTGGAACCCATTTGTTAAATTATTTAGGTGTGCTTGGTCTGATCAACATTCTGGATCCTAAATGACAGTATTCGTGCCCTCTAAATCCCTCCCAATGGAGACCTTTGAATTTATACTGCCCGGGAAGAGCGAGATTAATGTATTTTCCATTCAGGTTGCTCTTGTGACAGCTTTTGTACCACCAACCACCAACTAAAAACAAAAAATTAAAAATAAGAAGGTTATCGTATTTATTTCAGAAGTGGTATAATCCTTTGAAACAAACCACTGAAATAAATGTAATACTATAAAATTGATACTTACGATATGTTTCAGCGCAACTACCCGGATCTGTGTCCTGATCCATGTCCTTGGTGCTAAACTTAGCGCCTGAATGGTATCCTAGTGAGTCCCCAGCGTCACCGCTAAATCCGTTTAGGAAATTTAAAGGATATCCATCTGTTTCTGGACCTATACCGAATGATTTATAGTGGGCATAAGCTTTAATTTTGTCTCTGTCAGTTATTTCTACTAGTAATTCGCTTACTTCAAATCCTAAATAAAAAAAACAAAATAAACTGAAGAGAGATGACACATATACAAAGTTTGAGATAGTATATAAGGAGTGATCCAGAAAAAATGTTTCAAGTAGACGTGGAAAAAATTCACGTACGCCGGGCGTACAATTCTGATTCTTTTTAACTGTCAGTTTGGATTTAATTGACTTTTATCTCTGTCTTTGTCGGTCATGGTCTACTTTAGAAACATTTTCTAGGTTATACAGTAGATGAGATGGAAAAAGTTTGTGGGAAATTAATAAAAATTTCAGACAAATTTTTTTATCGAGCTTTAAAAGAAACCAAATGTGGAAACTGAAAGTATCGATTATAAAAATATAATTTCCTGAGCGTAGTAGAACTTTTAACGTTGAGTGACAAATAATTTAAAATTTTAAAACCAGTTAAATCTTTTGTTTCACGTCGGCGTCGTGTGTATTTTTATTGTTTTGAACAGAGTGTTTATTAATTGAGTGTCGATATTTAAGGGTGTGAATTCTTGGGTGAATTTAAGAAGAAAAGTTAATACCAATATGTTGGTATGTGTCGTTAACTTCTTAATATTTAAGCTACAGGGTGTTATAGTTTAAAAAAAATAACTTTTTTATCATAACGTCTTTATGTATTAAAAAATAACATAAGCAAATGACAAAGTTCAATTCAGCGGCTAAGCATGCATTTTAGTTACTGAGTTGTTTTACCATTTAACCCTTAAGAAAATATCCCTATGATACGAGAATAAAAATATTAAAAATATATAAATTAATAGAATGAGTAAATAAATCAATAAAAATAAATTCCCGGAAGCAAAAAACAAAAAGAAAAAGCAGCAAACTATTTAAACAAGTATTCAGCACAAGTGTTTTAATTTTTACTTTGAAGGAATTATAACTGATAATTTTATAATCTTGAGGGATGACATTATATAGACAAGGCAAATTTGATAAATAAAACACCTTCTAAAATATTTTGTACAAACAGAGATGGGGTAAGTGTTCCCTTATATCTAATATTAATATTATGAACATCCGTTTGAAATATTATTTTTCTGTGCAGATATGATGGTCTTTTGCTTGTGATTATTTTAAAATGAAGATTTGCAGAGTGGAAAAACCTTCTATTTTTCATATTAAGCCAACCTGCTTCTCTTAATTTAAGTGATATTTTTTGGCGCCTTCTTATTCCATAAATTAATCTCAAACATGAATTTTGGATTGATAGTAGTTTGTTATATTTGAATCATAAACTGAATCTGAACAATTAAATATAGATAACACAAGTGTCTCACAAAAAAGTAATTTAAATTAAATAAAATGTCTAACTCCATAGATCAATTTCAGGGAAGAATAATCTCGTCCAAAAATATCGCGTGGAGTTTTAGGTTTATACACTGCATCAAACGAATTTTCGTTATTGTGAAGATACACCGTAACAATACCTTATTGGAAAAAAGGAAATCATTGTTTGACGAGGAAATATTTAAAGGAAATTCGTAGATATCGCAATTTTTGGGTAAATTTTGTATTTGAACAAAACCTAGGTTAATCAACTTGATTATACAGATCCTTCTTAAGAAGTGAATAGTTTTAAATTAATTATGAACCGCTAAACTGGTGATGTGTTTTATACCAACCTACGATGTGATAGATGTTTTCAAGACCGAGCCAAAATTCCCGCTTGAGGTCTCCAAAACCAAATTTATAGTCACGCCATTCTCTGTAAAAATTTTCCGAACCATCAAATCTTTTTTGAACAACCGTCCAACCACCATCTTTAGTTTCCATATCACACATGACAAAAATTGGTTTAAATATGGTTTTAGGTTGGATTTGGTACATTCCAGATTTGTTTTGGCCTCAAAAAGTTTTAAAAATATGTTAGCTAAAAACTATTTGTTTTAAAAGTAAACTTACCATTTTCTTGAATTTCTTTACAGCTCTTCGGTATATTACTTTTGGTAGCTTTAGTATCATTTTTTAAATATTTTTCTTCAAAAAAATCACAATATTGAAGTTTGCTTAAACCTACTAATCCATCGCAAAACTCACTGTTGATTCCTACATTGCTAAAAAATTAAAAATTGTGCAATCAGTTTGTCGAATGAATTTATAAATTTATGACATAATAAAGGTCATATTATTTTCTCTCTCTTCATACCTTAGTGTTTGTGATTCGCAATTAGATTTCTGGCAAACGTTCTGAAGATTTGGTAATTTGCCAGTAGTACTGTCTAATCGATTGATAATACGATTTTGGTCGGTGTTTAAAGATCGTTCTATTCTTACGTCTTGTTCTTCATGCGGTTCGTTTTCAAGATACATTTCTGGTGATGATTTCTTTGAGTTATCAACTACAAAAATATTTTCTTATGAAAAGATTATATTACCTCTAGTTATATAAGTAATTCACTATGATAGTAATAAACCTTCATTCACACATAAAAAATAGAAATACAAAGCATTTAACAATACCTGTATCTTACGTGACTAAATTGATATTAATAATTAAGCACTGTTGAGAATTAATAAATCATTAACTTATAAGTTAAATAAGGCAGGACGCGAAACAGTGCCTTGGGGTAAACCACATTTTATATATTGACGATCACTGAAATAATTGCTTTCTTTTTATAAGTATAATTTTCAAAGATTTTTAAACAATTTAGGTACTCTTATTTCATTTTTTTCTCAATAGTAGACAATGATTAACACTGTCAAATGCTTTGATCAGATCAATTAAAAGATCTTGATAAGGTTTACTCTTTTCCTAATGATGCATGTGATTAAGTGTGGTATCTTCGCTTTGTTTACTTTAAGCCTGTTTTTTAATATTTTTAAAATATTTTTGATAAGGGTAATCAAAGAAATTGGTCAATAGTAACTGGCTGATGTTTGATTGCCTTTTTTGTATCAATAATTGTTACCTTAAATACTTTCGGACAAACTCCAGAATCTAAACATATATGAAATATATTTTAGTACTTTATGGGATGCATAAATATTTTGAAATCTTACCTCCAATAGCTTCATGAATGTTTGAGTGGATAATATCATTTAAATTATGATCAAAGTTTTTTCCACCTAACCGGATATCAATAAGTTTTGTAAATTTAAAATTAAATGGTCCATTGTCAGGTTCATTGGCGTCATGAATTTTCTAAAACATTAATTAGTAGGTAATAGTTATATTTTTTAGAACCAGATTAGATAACATAATATGCTGCGTTTGCATATCCACATCGGATGCATCTGAGATGTTGTAAATCTTTAATATACGTAAATGTATTAGGACGGATATGGATAGACATACGCTCGAAATGTAAAAAATTCATCGGATGTGGATATTCAAACGTAGCATTAATATTTGAAAATTGTAATTTAATATCGAGAAGTCATAAATCAAAATTCAAAAAATCGGTACATATGAAAAATAACTGGCTAAAATAATTTTAAAATTCGGAAACAAATCTCAAAAATCCCCCTTCGAATTAATCCGAGTCCCAAAGGAGAGAAAACACGTACTTGAAAATTTAAAAAAATGCCTGTTGGTGCCGGGATTCGAACCCATACGTCTTTGTTCTGTACACAAATGCACTACCTGTAGACCATCACGACATTGACTGTCGATATTCCTAGCCGCCAATTTGATGTGCTAATTCGGGCCAATCGCCGTTTCAGGTTCGTTCTCAAATCTTTAAATACCTCTATACAGCATCGGTGTATATGAGAAATTCATTGATGCATACTGAGCCCATATCTTACGCAGACGAAGGTATATGGGCTCAATATATGCATCAATGAATTTCTCATATACAATACACCGATGCTGTATAGAGGTATTTGAATATTTGAGAGCGAACCTGAAACGCGCTTGGCTAGAATTAGCACATCAACCTGCCGGTTAGGAATTTCGACAGTCGATGTCGTGATGGTCTAGAGGTAGGGCATTTGTGTACAGAACAAAGATGTCTAGATTCGAATCCAAGTATGTGTTTTCACCTTTGGGGTTCGGGGATGGTCCTAATAATTCGTAGGGGGATTTTTGAGATTTGTTTCCGAATTTTCAAATTATTTCAACATAATAGGTGTTCTGTTGTATAGAATCAGATATTGATTGAACATAAAAGTATGTGATTTTCATTATCAGAAACTCTGACCAGGGCTTACGAGGCATAACATTGGCAAGCCCTCCCCATATTGAATCTTTTTTTTAAGCTGCCGGGTTCCGGGGATTTTAACCCCCTGCTCCTCCCTCTCGTCGGGCATGACTCTGACTAACTATAGGTACCTATATACCTATTTATTTGTGCAGTTCAAAAAGATATTAAAACACTTTTTAAATAGGTACTCACCTCATCAGTAGCACAAAAACTACTTGATAATAAAATTATGAATAAATATATTAACATAGTAAAATACACTTTATTAATTATGTGTTAATGGTTACTGAAGTTGACGAGGTACTGGAAACTTTAAATTTCATATTTTATTAATAAATAACTAGATAATGAATTGATACAATCTTGTAAAAAGGGGAAATGCCAATCTCTGTAAATTTTGCAGGCAGGATATTCTCTTGTGATAAAAATCGGGATGTTATTCTTTTTCAACTTCTATTGTATCACAAACTTGGTTTTTGACCAGTTTCGGTGTTGAAAAAATAATACAAAACATAAAAAAAATATAATATATTTGTCTCTGTTTGTGTGATTTGGTTAAATTTATATATCCGCAAAAACAAACTGCTATCTTTGTAACTGATTTATTCAGATAAAATATAAAATAAAAAGGCGGTTGGATAACTTTTATACTCTCGTGACTTACACGTAAACAGTAATAAATATATCATTTGTTTTTATATACCGAATGATTACTAACATTAACTAGGTACAATATAAAAGTCTACCAATATATAAACTATATACTCATACAGCACAAAACATAACATAACTAATTACTTAACACTCTCACTTTTTGTATGTTTCTGTATCCCCAACTTCACGTAGCATTTCTCAAATCTTCTTCGGGGTAGGGTTTTAGTTAGAACATCTGCTTCCTGCTTTGTGGAGATGTATTTAGGCACCAAGACACCAGCTTCAAACTTCTCTCTGATAAAATGGTATGCTTTGTTTTACGATGATATTAGGGGTTATGAATTAGTCTTATTGCACTTTGGTTGTCAATATATAAGGTCGTTGGCTTGTTGATCTCTTCGTCTATGTCGCGCAGTAATTGCTGTAACCAAACCATTTCTTTAGATGCTTCTGAAGCAGCTATGTATTCTGCTTCTGTTATCGATAGGCAAACATTGGACTGTCTACTGGGCCATGTTATAGGGCCCGAGTTGATTTTAAACACAAATCATTTGCGAAATCAGCATCGGAAAAACCGATGCTTTTTATATCTATTTCCACGATTTTGAGTTCCTAATAAGTACTTAATGATTTTTTAACTGCGTTCTACCTCATACTGGTGGGGCTATTTATGTATCGACTTACGACTCCCACTGAATGTGCTATGTCTACTGTTGTTACCATTGCGGCAAAAATTAACGAATCAACACATTCTCTATAGGGATCTTAACACTCTTCTAAATAGGCTCTGTATCGGTAGAAAGGATGTGGACGTCCAGGTATACTTGCTGGGTTTGTATCTTCTAAGCCAAAACGTTTTAGAAATTGTTTGACATAGTTTGCTTGAGAAATGAAAATGGAGCTATTTGTTTTATTTAGTGTAATTTCTAGACCAACATAGTAATTAACTTCGTCTATAGTTATCTCAAACTTTTTCTTTAGTTCACATAAAACTTTATTTACGACAGACAAATCTGATGACATTACGATTCCATCATCAACATACAGTAATAAAATAACTTTTTGGCAATCAAATTCGCCACTATATACACATTTGTCGGCGTTACTTTGGGTGAATCCAAAACTCTTCAAAAAGTTATCAAATTTAGTGTTTTAACAGCGAGGCGCTTGCTTTAAACCATATAACGATTTTTGCAATTTGCACACAAGTCCTGGTTCGTATTTTAGTCCTTCAGGAGGCCACGTGTACAGCTTTTTACTCAATTCGCCATAGAGGAATGCTGTCTTAACGTCAAATTGCATCATTTTCAACTGGTTTTGAGCAGCAACTGCCAACAGGACTCTAATTGTATTGTATTTCGTAGTTGGTGCATAAATTACATTGTAGTCCAGCCCTTTTTGTTGTGTATATCCTTTTGCACATAGTCTCGCTTTAAATCTTGAGATTTCTCAATCAGGCTTTCTTTTAACCTTAAAGACCCATTTAGATCCGATGATATTTACATTTTTATTGTTAGGTACGGGACATAACTGCCAAGTTTTATTTTTATGGAGGGCAGAGATAAGATAGAAGGCATCTAATTCTTCTGTGATCGCTTTGTTCCATTCTTTGACATTGTTACCACTTAAGGCTTCTTCATAGGTCTGTGGTACATCTGCCTCTACAAAATTGAATTCATAATCTTCATATCTTTTTCGCATTCGAATGTTTCTCTTTGGGCGAAGGTCTATCAGGTAAGTCTGTAATTTCTTCTGCTTCTTCTGGTTCGATTTGATTGACATCTACTTCATTTTATTGTTCATAATTGTGTGCTTCATGTTCAGTTTCTTCAACCTCTTCATCTTCAGTTTTGGGTACAAACCCTTTGGGGGTTTCATTAAATAAAACATTTCTTGAAATCGTTATTTTCTTTGTATTGGGGTCGAATTGTCTGTAATTATTTGACTCATTATATCATATCCAACAAGTATGTACTTTTTGGTTTTTGAGTCAAGCTTTGTTCTTTTTTGATCAAGAACAAGCTAGGCCATAAGCTTCAGTACCAAATATTCTTAGATGAGTGAGATCTGGCTTCTTGCCGTACCAAAGTTCGAATGGAGTAGCACCTGGAGTCTGACTGGTACCAGCACGATTTGAAACATCATAGAAAAATGAAACATACACTGCCGTATTGAGAGCTTCGGCCCACATAAATCTTGGAACGCACTCACCATAGATCATTGACCTAGCACTTTCAATGATTGTTCTGTTTTCTCTCTCAGCACAGCCATTTTGTTGAGTGGTATATGATGCTGAATGTTTCTTGTTTTATTCCTTCATTTGTTAGAAAACGTTTCAAATCACTGTTCAGTGCCATTTATGAAGCACTTTTATTGGGTGTCCAAATTTATTTTTTACCCTGTTTGCGAATTCTTTAAAACAGTTTACCACATCTCACTTGTGCTTTATAAAGTTTAGGTACACTGCGATATCCGAAGTAATCGTCCTTAAACGTTACAAAATACTTTACACCTCTTACAGATGGGGGGGTCATATAGGTCCACATACGAAATATTTTTTCACCCACTTGCATTTTTTCATGTACAGTTTTTTTAAAAGGTAACTGGGGCTGTTTTCCATAGGCACAGGGTTCACAGAATAAGTTATTTACATTACTAAAATCAACACCTTCGACAAGATTTTTGGCGCCCATCTCACGAAGTGTTTTAACATTAATGTGCCCAAGTCTCTCATGCCATTTTTTTAAGACATTCCCTCATTTTGTAAAGATTATTTGAATCTCGTATACCTACAGCAATTAATTGCGATTTGTTGAAGACTTCTGCTCTTGCGTTATTTTTTATGATTTTTATGCCTTTGCTGGTTACCACGCCTTCGGAAAAGATATTTTTCTCATCTGGCACATACAGCACGTCATTTATCGTAGCCTCATACCATTTGTTATTGAGTAGTTTTTGGACTTGTACCGTTCCTTTACCTTTGACAAACAAACTGTAGTTGTTGCCCAGCTTAGCAGTTAATCTTCAACCTCTTTAAATGTTGAAAAGAATTCTCTGCGGTAACACGACATATGCGCCGACGCTCCGCTGTCAATTATGCAGTAATCTGCATTGGAAATACTATTTTCCAATTCAGCATTTAAAGCACTAGCTGTATTCTCGTCTCTATAAATATCATAATTTGATTTTGTTCTGCAGTGCCTTGCCATATGACCTCTATTGTGTCACTTATAACATTTGCCGGAAAATTTTTTGGAACTTCTTTTATTCTTAGGGTCGATTCCACCGTTGTGTTAAACGGAGATTTCAATTTTCATTGTTAATGTAAAAATGTCATTTTAAACTTCGTTTAATACAACGGTGGAATCGGTCCTTGAGTGGCATGCACGTGGCATGGCTGTCAATGTAGTTTCTGCTTTTTCAATAGAGGTTAGGTTGGATTATTCGTCCAGTAATCGAGCAGTTAGGTTTGCAATGGTCTGTTTGGTTTCGTCTAACGAAAGCCAAGCTTGATAGCAACGATCTTAAGACTTTCGTCATTACTGCTACATTACTGATTGTTTCCCCATCGTCTCTTACTTGCTTCGTCAAATTTTCTACTTTCTCAACATGATGAGCAACGGAGTCGTTTGGATCCGTCTTATATATTGATGAAACCGTTCACGTACAAGCATGTTGCTCATCTCAGACTTCTGCATGTAGATTGCATTCAGTTTATCAAGGATCTCTTTAGATGAATCACAATTCTCAATCAAAGTTATTTGAGAATAGTTCATTGCCGCAGTGAGAGTAAACATTGCTTGAGCATCCTTCTTGCACCAGGCTTTCTGACCATCACCAGCATTTGGCGCCTTGGGAGTTGCCCCAGCTGCTACATCATATATTCCTTTTGCTTTCAAGGCACATTTCATTTGAAAGGTCCACTGCTGGTAATTACTTCCATCAAACTTATTGATGCTAGTAACATGCGCACCTTTTTCGCACATTTTTAATCAGTCTCTTGAAGGGTATATATAAACTCGACAAACGATATACTTTCCTCAGCGTATTACTGGGCATATAACCTGTGTGATTTAGTTAAATTTATATATCCGCAGAAACAAACTGCTATCTCCATAACTGATGATTTATTCAGATAAAATAAAAAAATGAAAAGGTGGTTGGATGACTTTTATATTCTCGTGACTTACACGTAAACAATACCACAGTTTATGGCTAAAAACTATAAACTGTGACAATACTAAATATATCATTTTCCTATGACCACTTAGGAATAAGTGACACATCACACTATATAGTCCTAAGGAAAGTGCCCTATATCACACGCGTATGAATAAGAATTTACTTTCCACCCGTGTGCGAATATGCTACTTTCCGCATCAGCTGTCATAAAATGTCAAACGCATCATTTCTATTTTGATCTATGTAATGTCCATATATTAATACTAAAATCGATATGATTGTTAAATTATTGAAATTGTTGTAAATTAAATCCTAGATATTTTTAACAATTATTATTAAAATAATTTTAAAATAACTTTTTATTCTGGTTATACACATAACCGATTAGATCACTCAATTGTCGCAAGGCCTATTAGCTCAAGTGGTAGAGTATCAAACTTTATCAACTTTGCCATTTGAGACCTGGCGAGCGACCGCGTTCGAATCCTTGTGGGGGCAGAACTTTTTTTTTCATTTATTTTTTTTTGTTTTTTAGTTTTTTTTTGTTTAGAAAATATGAAAATTCAATAAATAAAATTATTGTTGATTATTTTTTTAAATACATTTTAATTATTATAATAATAACCTGGTTTTACATTTTTTGATGAAATTATTTTGTGGTCGTAAGAAAAATATTATACATCACTTGTGTGAAAAGTGATTTTCCACACTCGTAAAGTATAATATACTATTGTTTTTATATATCGAATGATTGCTAACTAGGTACAATATAAAAGTCTACCAATACATAAACTATGTACCTACTCGTACAGCACAAAACATAACGTGGCATAACAAAAGAACTAATTAACACTGTTACTTTTAAATTTCATTTGTTGCAAAAAATTTAATCATATCCATTTATTTTGTAAAAAAAAACTATCTAAAATTGATGGTTGCAACTCTTCTGACACTCATAATGTATTGTTGGTTGCCTTTAAGTAGTGTTCACTGTAGTATTGTTGTGTGTACCATGGGACTCTACTAATTTTCTCCATGTTACCAACGAGACATAACGAAGAAAACCGATATTGAAAATAATTGCCAAGTTTTACTAGAAAGACATCACATTAAAAGACATTTAAAATAAAAAATTATTACCCCCAAATTAATTAACGATAAAAAACGAATTTAAGTTATTAAGAATATTAAATTAATAACTATTTTTTAACAAATGTGTACTAGCGTTGATAGGATGGAAAATATATTATTTCAGTTGAGTATTGTCAAGTAAATTTTCTAATATCTGAAACGTTTTGGTATTGACGGCAACGTAGTGATATTTGGATCTCTCGCCGGAAATGTTTTCAAGACGTGACACGTGACAGCTGATTGCTGTCAGTTGAACTGCCAATGTTAAACAAAATATAACAATTTAATTTATTTAATTAATTAAATTTCTGACTGACCGAGACCGACAGTTCTTGCTATAATGCCAGCGGCAATTCAAGAAGCCACCAAAGCATCCGAACATTCGGAGCAAATGTGGAAAGTCCTAAAAGCCCACATTCTTAGAGAAAGGGCAAGAAAACGGCAAGAAAGAGAACAAGAAGTCGAAGAAGAAAGACTTCGAAAAGAACGCGAAGCCAGGGAGCAGCAAGATGTAATGACTTTAGGAGAAACTAGAGAACAAATTTCACAACTCGAACAGAAATTGACACAGTTAAAGGAAGAAAAACACCAATTATTTTTACAGCTTAAAAAGGTGTTAAATGAAGATGATAATAGGAGAAGGCAGAAAGAAAACACGTAAGTTTCACTGCGATTAATTATTATACAATAAATTATATTGCATCGTTGTTTATTAATTTTTTTAATATCGTAGAGAAAACATGATATCAATACAAAATCTGCCTACGAATATGATACAGCAACAGCTGTATATACAACAACACCAACAGCAGCAACCTCAACAGCCTCAAAGATTGGCTCCAATGCCTCAACAACAACAACAGCAACCTCTGCCTCAGACTGCATTCAAACAGACTAAGAGGCCCAGAAGTCCTAGCCCTCCACCTCAAGTGCCCGTTTCTATGTATCATGGATATGGGTATAAACCTCAGGGTGTTGCTACATCATCTTACCAGGGTTCACCACAAAGTAAGTCATTTATTGAATCTTTTACAAGGGATAATACATTTTAGATTGGTCATTATGGTTTTTATTTATACTGTGATTTTTCTTTGCAGAAGATGACAGTAGACGTAACGAGTTAGTACGAGCAGTATTGTGGAACAGTGAGTGTTACCAGTTTTCTGCTTTTCAGCTTTTACAATTATATTTATTTAATTCATGAACAAAAAAAAAATTAGCTTTGGTCTTCTATCTAATTTATTTAAGTTGTATTGCTAGAAAGTTTGCACAAATCTGTTTACAGAGTGTTTATATCAATTTTTATAAAAATATGGGGTTATTATTTTGAAAAATCCCTTTTTTATTTTTTATATAAATGGGCATAATGGTACAAGATTTTATGGGCAGCAAGTACTAAAATCAACGACTACAAAAATTCTCATATTTTGTTATTTTCCAAACTAATGAGTAAAGTTGTAAGGGCGGGTTGTACAAAGAATGCTGTAAACGTATTTTAGTTAACAGGAGTTTAATTTTTAACTGGTTACATTCAGGACAGGTTGTATAAAGCTTACTTAAAGTTAAACTCGGGTAGAGGTGGTACATGACAAATTGTATGGCATAGGTACAGTCTAAACACCAATTAGCACTTAGGCCTTGTTTCCCCAAACAGACTGCACCTATATGTCGGCAATTGACATGTATCAACTAAAACTGAGCTTAACTTTAACCACTTAATGTACAGGGTGATTCTTTTATCATGGGAAATGAGTTTTTCTCGTAAATGGCTGCAGCAAATTGGGTTCTGTAAAAAGTATTTTATTTGGGCTGGTTATTGCTTGAAATTGGGATGGATAAGGAAGTTATAAATAAACGACGCTGGGCGTCGCGACGCTTTAATTTTTTTTTGTCAGAAGCATACCATTTTTATTTCAGAAATTGAAAGATCTATTCAATAAAAACACTTTTTTTAAATACTATTTTTTTCCATCTAAAACCATTCAAAAATTACAGACCAGTTTTTATGTTCCAAATTTCTAGATTGCCATACAAAGAATGCATGGTATTTTAAATTTCACTAAATCAGGTAGGCTTTGAAAAAACATAATTGGCTTATATTGATTGATGTCTGAAACTGTCAGTGTAATTTCAATTATTCCTATTAAAATAGTGAGTAATAAGAAATATGTTTACACATTCAGATAAAGTTGACATGCTTCTTTTATACGGAGAAGCCCAAAAAAATGGTTTAGCTGCAAGAAGATTATATGCGGAAAAATACCCCGAACGCAACCTTCTAGACCACAAAATGTTTGCCAGGTTAGAAACTAGTTTACGTCAAAACCCTAAAGCATTTGAAGGTAGGTTTTGTGTTTTTTAATAAATCCCCATAAATTCAATGAGCTAAATTTGCAGGTAAAAGATCAAGAACAAAAACTGTCACGACGGATGAAAATGTGGCAATTATTTTAAATTATTTTAACAATCACCATGAAGCTTCTATAAGAGAGGCTTCAAGAGACTTAAATTTAAATTATAGTGTGATACAAAGAGTTTTAAAAAGCAACAAATACCATGACTATAAATTTCATAATTTGCAAGAACTTTCGCTTAGAGATTTTGAGAGGAGGAAGGATTTTATTTGTCAGTTTTTGGTGTCTTTGGATGACAATCCTAATTTATTTTCTCATATACTATGGACAGACGAAAGTCATTTTGTTAGTCATGGATTACCAAACAAAAAAAATACCCATTATTGGTCAGACGAAAACCCGCGCAAAATCAGACAACATCAAATACAGGGCCACTTTGGCATAAACGTCTGGTGCGGAATAGTCGGGCGGCACTTAGTAGGGCCATACTTTTATGAAGGCGCCTTGACGGGCCCAAGATACTTAGATTTTCTCCAAAATCACCTTCCTCTTTTGCTGGAACATGTGCCACTGCAAATCAGAAGAAACTTATGGTTTCAACTAGATGGAGCTCCTTGCCACAATGCGGTCATTGTTCAAAATTATTTGAATGAAGTCTACCACGGAAGATGGTTGGGGACACACGGGCCCTTGAAATTTCCGCCTAGATCTCCGGACTTGACACCCTTAGATTTCTTTTTATGGGGAATTTTAAAAAATATAGTGTATAAAACAAAATCTAATAATTTAGATATTTTAAAACAAAAAATTATTGATGCGTGCAATGGAATATCTGGTGATGTTTTAAGAAAAGTTACATCTTTCGAAATAAGAAAGCGGTACAATTTATGTGTGGATAACGATGGCGCATATATCGAGCAATTGTTAAAATAAGATTTGTGAATTAGCAATTAATTTTTACTAAATACAGTTCATGTTATTCTTTAATGTTTTATGTATGTTTTATGGGTTGTTAGTGTAAACTTTGATTATTTCCTAAACAATTACATAAGTGTTATTAAATGTAGGAACATCTTGTAAATTGTTTTCTTTAAATCCTAAATTATATTTGTTGTCAATATCAGCATAAAAGTTAGCCTGCCTGATTTAGTGAAATTTAAAAACCCAGCATTTTTTGTATGGCAATCGACAAATTTAAAACATAAAAACTGGTCTGTAATGCTTGAATGGTTGTAGATGGAAAAAAATGGTATTTGAAAAAAGTGTTTCTATTGAATAGATCTTTCAATTTCTGAAATAAAAATGGTATGCTTCTAACAAAAAAAAAATTGAAGCGTCGCGACGCCCAGCGTCGCTTATTTATAACTTCCTTATCCATCCCAATTTTAAGCATTAGCCGGCCCAAATAAAATACTTTTCACAAAACTCAATTTGCTGCAGCCGTTTACGAGAAAAACTCATTTCCCATGATAAAAGAATCACCCTGTACACATTTATTTTGATATTTTGGTCAAAATATTATCGGATTTTTTAAAATTTAGTATTTATACTTATTAAAATAAAAAAAAATATTTTCAGTGGCGTAGCAACAGCAACTGTATTTTACTTAGTGTGGAGGGGAGGTGAAATTATACATTGTGTTTTCCTAAATATTATTTGTTTATGCTTTACATATCTTTATATGGTGAATGTATACCTATTATAAAAATGTATAATTGGCTTATAAATTATACTTTACCTTAATAATTATCAGTGACATACTTAATATTTTTTTTACTAGCGGGGTAGTCAGTGTTTATTGTTGTTTATATAGGAGAGAAAATTAGTTCAGAAGTATTTTATTGACACATATGTAGAAGTATTTATTAGAACAAACTTTTTTGGTGACGAAACCTTTTTCAAAGCGAAATATTTGACGGAGCCCTAAACACTTTTTTAAATCCTCTTTTCTCTAGCCTCTAGCCAGGTCCATCCCTTTTCTTCGCGGAGACCCCACAAAAAAAATCCTCAAAATCATACCCTCATTCCTCTTAGTGGCTTCAAAAAAATAAAAAAAGGTCCTCAAACCAAGTCCCGTTGTAGCGATAGTACTGCTTTTTTTGTTATGACTATTATTTTCTTCGCGGAGCCCCCACAAAGGCTTTGCGGAGCCCCCACAAAGGCTTTGCGGAGCCCCAGGGCTCCGCGGACCACACTTTAAGTAACGCTGTATTAGATTACCCTCGCATCTGAAATGAGCGAACAAAAATGTGTGAGTAAATATAATGGTTGCCCGTGTCCCAGTCAAGCATGTACAAAATTGTCAGTAAGACTCGCTCGTCTCTGACACGGGCATGTAGGTTAAGTGGTTAAGTAAGCTTTATACAACCAGCCCTAAAAGTACAAATGTAATTTTTAAAACTATGACAATAACCAATGATTGTACAATGAGGTTCATAGTTTAATCTGTGAATGGGCTCCTATTTCAAACTTTAAAAGGGTTAATATATGCTTTAAAAAATATGCAATTTTGACTATTTTTTATAAAAAAATTCTGCAACTGCGATATTGTCAATTCTTTGTTATTAACTTTTTTATCACTATAATATAAAGTAATGTTTCTAGGTTTACATCAATAAGATAAAACATATACAGGCAAACTCTCGATTCAGAAGTTAAACTTAACTGTGACTTAAAAAAAAACTTGTATAGGGAATTTGTTTACTGTTAATATTTTAGGAATCACTTGTCCTTTAAAAAATATACTATAGTTGAGTTCGGGCTGCGCACTCCAAAGTGGAGTGGAGCAAATAGGCGTAAACGGAGTGCGCATATGGTTTTCTCCTTTTACTCTCAGAGTTCAATGTCAGTTGTCAATGTGATATACTAATACTTAAAACCTAATCGTACTTATCAGTAACAACCGTATAAGTTTCTTCCATAATAATGGTATGTACGGGAATCAAATAAAAAGCATTTTTACTTAAGAATTAGTCACAATTATCTTATTATCGATTTAAATCGCCTTATGCGCATGCCCGATCCACACTCCACTCCACGATCTCCGAACGGTCAAAGAGGAACTTTTATTTTAACTCCTTCCGTACCCGAACGCTTTAGGTACTTTAGGAGTGAATATAGTGAAAAGAGTGCTTAGACCGAACTCACCAAAAGAAACATAAAATTCATTCTTATATTTTTCTATGTAACAGGATTGAAAATAAAAGTACCCACTATTTTATTGTAAGACCATAAAAAGATAAATAATACAAAGTAACTGTTTTTAGGTCCTTATTCAAAGTATAATTTAAAGAACTTGAAAGTAAATACATGTGCCTACTCTATTCAATAATATATATAAATAGATACACTTATGTATAATGGCATTCAGTAGATCCTAGTTATTGAGTTGGGGCGCAGCTGAATATTAAGATAAAATTATAATTTTTTTTTGTGATTTCCCCTCATTTTATTTATGAAGTGATTTTTACTAAAACATATCTAAAATAATAATTTTACAAAAAATTGTTCTATAAATTAAAAAAAAAAAATTCTTATAACTTATTTGACTGTTATTATAAATCATACATTTAATATTCTTATATACTTAATAAACATTATTTTTGCCATTTTTCAACTACTGTCATCCGGGGTGAAATCGGATGATTTTGGAGTATTTTTGCAAATAGCCTCTGCAGTTTTTATTTAAAAAATGTGAAAAAATTAAATTAGATACTTGTATCCTTTATCTTGTCATTCTATAAAAAAAAATACGTCTATATCTTAATATTTTTGTTTTTCATATATAATATAGTGTCCGAATTCACCCCTATGTCTGGGGTAATTTTGGACACTCATTGTAGCTTAAAATCGAATTATAGAATGCACTGATGTGTATTCGGATACAAAAAATAAAAAAAAAATAATATCCTGGAACATCTGTAAATGCAGAAGGTCAAATTTTCGGCAAGGGTTATTAGAAAAACACAATATTTGAGAAACTTTCGACATTTTATTCAAAAACAAAGTACAAAATTCATTTTATATCTACTAAAAAATAAATTAAAAAAAAAAAGAAAAACACATTTAATTAAAATATGAAAAAAACTGAACAAATCTTTGGGTGAGTAGGAACATTGCATATTTTTATAAACTAAGAAGTGTTTATGTTATCTAGAAATATAAACTGATATCGGCCCCTTGAAACTTTTACAGATCAGAGAAGAAGAATTAATTGGTGTCTTTCAATTGCACTTTTATCTTTAATCTAGGGATAAGAATAATAATATCTCATCTTGGGAGAATCGTGTTTTCTTAGGAAATGAATCATATATGTATCAGAATAAATCACTTCCTTAACACAGGCGACATAGTTTTTTTTGGTCAATTTAACTATGACAAAAGTGTCAGGTGTTATAACTGCGTTTTCTGGGCTCTCAAATGAATCGACTTTCTCATTATTTTCGTTTTGGTTGGTACCTGCACCGTCAACCTCACATTATTCTTCGTCGTGATTCTCAATTTCTCCTTCGTCGTCGTGATCCTCATTCATCTGTTGCTTCGTGATCATCATTTGAGATGTCTAACTCAGATGGCGAAACAGAGTTCTGTCTACTGGGACCTTTTACAAATTTCCTCGAAGCAACATTGAGTTTCCTGCCCCTTCTACGCCTGGGCTCTTCAGCAAATCGCTTATCATTGAGTCAGCCGACAAACGTTTAATAATAATAATACTCTCCCTAATTCACCCCCTTACGAATGAATTTTAACCCCAAAAGCTGAGCTTGTGCGGGGAAAGGGACGGCTATTATTATTATTATTATTTGCCGTGGCGCTCCGGTGTGACTTAAAGATGATTGATGGTGCCATTTGACTTACAGGTGAGGAAAACCTCACCCACCATCATCGAGACGGTAATGCATGGCGATTTTATAATCTGCATGTCATATCAACAGAAATTGAATTTCTATTAATACGGCACACATGAAATCCTATACCTAACCATGTAATTTAATTAAAAATCCACATGGTCTGGTCTGGGATTCGAAGCCCGGCAGTCTCGAACCATAAACTTGCCTATACATGAATATAAGCGCGTTAGAATGCTACACCACCGACCCGACCATTCACTAGCAATTTCAGCCTCATCTCTTGATATTGGAATTTTTCTTAATACAACCTCTGGATACAGTGGGAAAATCCCACATGCTCGAAATCCCGATTTGATGGTCTGCTGCATTGTTGGTGCCATCTTATCTAAAGTTTTTTTTATTAAATTCTGTGAAACTCTAATTTTGGAATAATTCCTTTATTGTTTGTTTTCCATTCTGTTAAAGTTCTTCGCCAATTTTTCTTCAAAGGAGCGAAACATGCAACGTCTAAGAGTTGTAGAATGTGTGTGAAATTGGGTGGAAACAAAATGAATCTTGTATTGTATCTTTCGCATTCCTGGAAGACATGTAGTGAAACATGGCTTGAGAGATTGTTTCCTATAATTACTTTTGGTCCTTCGAGCTTTTTTAAATACGGCAATGCAATCTTATCAAACCAGTCTTCAAAAGTCGTTCCGTCGAACCAACTACTTTTTGTACGGTTATAGAAAGCACCTTCTACTCCTACTTCCACCCATGATGGATATAGGTGCCTTGGTATAAGGCGGTAGTAGTTGGCTAGATGCAGAAATGGCCATCATGATAGAAATGCTGCTTTTACTCGAATCCATTATTCTCTAAGCTCGTTTTGACCATTTTCGACACAAGACACGACCTGGGTCATCGCTTATGTTGTCAGAATTCACAATGTTTGTATGTGGCACTCCATCTAACGTCTCCCTCAAATTTGAAAAATATTCCACTTACGACTGCCCTGACATGCTTAACGTTTTGTGCCAGTCGCTCATTTCTTTCCAAAAACCAATAAAACCAATCTTCACCTGGCCTATTATCCTGGAATTTTGGTATCCTGATTCCCTTGCAATCCAAATAGTTCTTGACGAGACTTTTTATATCGGATCGTGTAAGTGGAAAGCCCCATTCACCAAATTTCTGGATCCCCTCTGACAAAAATCTTTTGTCTTCTGCCGATAGGCATGTTTCTTAGCTTGTCGCTAATTGTTGATTTCGGAATGTTATAGTTTTGTGAAGCTTCACAAATGGACCATCTGCCCTGTCGAACATCTTCTAAAGCGATTTGTAAGGGCATTGGCGAATAGTTCATGAACTGAATACTGAGTTTCTTCCCATATCTACGAGACATGGCTGTTCAAGTTCACTCCACATATGAACAAATTTTTTTAATAAACCCTCTCCACCAAAAATCAAGGTCAAATTTCACAATGTTTTCATGCTAAATTGTTGTTTATAGAATACTTTTTAAACATGGAGTAAAATACCAGAAATAAATATTTTTCAATTTTCTGCACAGAAGTTTCTTTTTAAAGTTTTGAAAAAAGGTAAAACATCAACAAATTTGATAATCGCTACCGACAAGAAAAAAGTTCTCCACTACTGTCCGAATTCACCCCAGATGACGGTAACCTTAAATTTTAAATCTCTAAAAAAACTGGTTATGTATAATTATAGTTTCCATTTCATAACTTTTATTTGTATTTTCTATTTCGTAAATTTGCACACCATATTTTCAATTTCCCATATCTGTATACACTCACTTGTGACTAATAACCTTGCTCAAAACCTCACTTTTTTGCTGCTTTTGCCAAATATCCACCATTTTAAGTCACATGATTTGGATTGCCTAAATTCCTGTGGAAGTGACTAATGTACCAACTCAAAACATTTAAATTTCACAGCCAATTCATATTATGATTTTTCTCAGTAACTCGTTATTCATATTATGAGGTCCTGAGCTTATCTTTAACTTATTTATACCATTCTTTATGCTTTGTTAATTTGATGAGTGTTGATTGACCGAGTATATATCTTTAGAGAGACGCAATTTATTCGTCATTTGCCCATTGCAACGAGTTCTTTTCCAGAAACGCCGCAATACAGCAACCAACCTAGCGCCTTCTATCCAGTGGCGCCTCAAGAACTGCAGCCCATGTACTATCCGATCAATCGCGAACCTGCCAGGAGTGTGTACGAGACGCCAAGGTTGCAAACGTTTCATCTGGAGCCCAAATTGACTGAGCACTATGCGATGAGGAACCCCGGACCACATCCGGGGCATAGTCTTCATCCTGGAGCCATACCTATTTCTCAACAGACTCCCCCAAAAGGTATGTATAAGGAGTGTAGTGGTTGTAGAGAAAAACTAGGTTGTTATTGATGCGCAAGGTTGGAATTTTAATCGAAACACTTCATATTAATTGAATCGGTGAGTGAAAGAACAGTACAAGTGCCAAAAACGGTAATTTTAACTGAGATAGGCAAATTGTTTAAAATTCATAGGCCTATCACATAACGAAAGAATAATACACAGACCAACATCATACGAGCGATGGGGGCTTGTTCAATTTTCGGTTGAGTGAAAGAACAGTACAAGTACGGCGCATGTACTGTTTTTTCACTCAGTAGCCATGTCGTTTCGTAGACAAATTTAACACAGATTTCAAAAACTGGTGGTCGCACTTTCACAAAAAAACTTCTAAATCAGCTGATGAACAAAAAGCTAATATTGTCATTCCACAGTACAGCCAGTTTACATACACTGGTAAAACTTCTGGATATGTTACTACAAGTGCCTTCATAGGCGGTTTTCTCTCGCACACTTTTATGTGTGGGGCGCATTAGACTGATATCAAACCTAATGCCAATCTGCAGTTACCCTTATGGCGGGCATACACGCTACGGTCTGTCTGTGCAGGTATGCCTGCACAGGTAGACATGCACGTTACGACATAAGGCCGATCTGCGCAGGCATACCTGCACAGGTAGGCTTATCCGGTAGACCGTTACGTGTATGCTCGCCATTAGAAAAGGCATACTCAGAAGTTGTCCCTACTAACGTAAAGAAGATAGCCAATATAAAGATAATTTTATTCCACTTTAGTGATGAAATCCTAGAGTTTTACTACCATATATTATTTCTTGGAAAGTCAAAAATGAAGATTCTGATTAAAAAATTACAAATAAGTTTGTTAAATAATAATCAATAAAGCTACAAAAAAAATTAAAGCATTTTTTTTAAATTGAGTGAAAGAACAGTATAACTGCAAGTAATTTTTTTCAAATATCATATTTTGCATAATTTTATTTTTAAATTTATGTACATATTATTATCGGTTAACAAAAATTCTATAACTTCACAATACATATTTAGGCCGAATAACCCATAGTTCTCCTTTAAAATAGTTTTTTTTGTTTTTCTCAAAATGGTCATTTTGGATATGTATTGTTCTTACACTCACCGATTCAATTAATAGCTTGCAAGATACATGCGCTAGTGTGGTCTATTAGTTAAAACGTATCCGTATTTCAAAAATCACAAAAAATTGCTATACATTTTGGCTAAATCACCCTTATTATAGGATTTCGGTGATTTCATCGAAATTCCTCTTAATTTTATTGCACCTTCTTGAAGTATCTTCGCGTGTCTATCGATTTGAATTATATTTTTAATTTTCTGAAATCCAAAGAAAACGATTATTTGGAGTAATTTCTCCTATTTTTTCGCCATTTATTATCAAAAATCATGTTTCTATTCCTCATGACTTATTATTACTAATTTTAAAAATGCATGTATTTTGTTTTACCGTTTTGTGTTCTCAACATGGAATTATATTTATATATATAAGTTTTGAGAAAATTATTTGGAGCCATTTATCTAATTTTTTCTGTTTCAACTTTCTAAAATTTTTTTCGCCACTTTGATTTAAGAAAATATGTAGTTTTTGTTCCCTTTCTTAATTATGACTCAAAAAAAACTGAAAATTATATTTTTATAATGTTCTAAAGTTCTGAGAAAACTATTTGGAGCCATTTATCTAATTTTTTCCGTTTCGAACTTTTAATTTTTTTTTCGCCACTCTAATATCAAAAAATAGTAGTTGGTCCTTTCTTAATTTTGACTCTAAAAAAAAAATTGAAAATAATATTTTTATAATATTCTAAAGTTTTGAGAAAACAACTATTTGCAGCCATTTATCTAATTTTTTCTCTTTCAACCATTTAAAAATTTTCTTTCCTCACTAATGTATCAAAAATCGTTTTTTTATCCTAAATTACCTATTTTCAAATTTTTTAAATATTTTTTGGTTTTGAGTTTTCAAGTTTGAGAATTTCAGTTTTTGAGATCGATATTTGAATCAAAAATCCGTAATATCTTCCTAACATTTTAGAAATGTGTAGTTGTTTGTTCTTTAGTTAATTTTGGATAAAAAAAAACGAAAAAATTATATTAATTTCCTTGAAAAACGACTGTTTAGACAAATTTTAAATTTTTTTTTCTTTTTCATTCATCAAATAAAACTTTTTCGCCATTTTTATATTAAAATTACTTTTTTTTTCCTATTCCGAATTAGGTGGTAGTATTACTGCTGGTTATCCTGTGAGAAGTCAGCCGCAGTACCAGCAAAATCCGACTCCGACTGCATTGTATACAGGTCAAACTAGGCCGCTGTATCAGACGGCTGTGAATTGCCCTCAAAGAGAGTAAAAATTGATGTTTTGTAGATGTTAAGATATACTAGTAATTGTTGTTTGTACAAAATAAATAATTATGTGTTTTTTTATGGTTTATTTTTGGTGGATTATTATGTAATAAAAATATGAAATATAGGAAAATAATGTGTGAAAAGAAATTGTTTATTATATTGTAATAAATAAAATATTTGAAGGATATTTAGTCTATTATTTAGGAAAAAGGCTTGAAATGATGTGAACCACTAACGATGAGGCTAAGAAAATATCGGCATTACAAGGCCACCATCACAGACATCCTGATAGTGAGGTTAATTTCTTAATATTTATAATATCTCAGACTCCAGGAAAAGACGTTCGCGCATTTAAACACATTCAAAAATACTTTTTAAACGGAACTAAAAAAAATACACTTTTGAAATTTGTAGTTTTTGAGTAAGCCATTTAAAATAGCCCATCTTCAATAATCACGGGTGTCCGCAGGAAAAAATCAGAAGGGGGAATAAAAAAATTTCAAATTAATAGACTTGTCTGCCCCTCCCCAGAATATTTTATTATAAAATGTTAAAAAAGCCAGAAACATTAAAGGATAAATTTGTTCAAATAGTGACCTTTATTTGGCGCATAAATACTAAAAAAATATTTTGAGTAACAAACCAATAATTAATCTAAGTATACCGGGTGACAATGAGACTAAGGCCACGTTAATATTCTTTTATTTATCAAGCGATTTGGATAAAATTTGGAACAAAATGCCCAACTTCCGGTTTTACCGGAAATGCCATTAGTTTCATTTGAACATTCGGCCTGAAGCCACTCTACCTAAAGGCCACTAAAGGGGCTCAATTTTTTTGTAAAATTTAAATTTGCTTCACTTAATTATTTTTAAGTGCTTCTAAGTAGCCCTATAAAATATAAACTCAATCGAATAACGTTTAGCCGACCCCATGAATTTTGGAATAATAATTTAAACGAAAAATTCACTTTATTATCTGTGCAATGCTTCGCCTGAGTTAATATTTACTAGTTTTAAAAGATTATACTTTAAAAGTGGTAAGCACTAAGGCCCGTATTATTAAACAAAACTCAGCTGAGTCGGACTTGGGTAAGTCGTCCTTGAACGAAAATCGAAGTTCGGTTATATCGCGTGAATTTAGAGATGGGTATTAACAAATCCGTAAATGTACATAACAGTTACATATTTGCTAATATCCATCTCTAAATTCCAGTCAAACACCAGAACCACCTAGAACTTTAGAGACGTTGTAACCGAACTTCGATTTTAGTTCAAGGACGATTTACCCAAGTCCGACTCACGTAAGTTCTGTTTATAAATACGGGCCTAAGTCAACCCAGAACTTTCCGCCTAAAGGTGTCTTGCACATAGAGTTCCAACCACCTATCCAATGTTGACCCAAGGGCGGCTCCAGGGGGGGCGGCTATGCTGGCCATGGACCCCCCTTGAGATGAAAAGTCTTACGATTTTTGGGCTTTTTATTAAAAAAAAATTGCTAAAAAGGGAATGGCTAAAGGCAATCTCTCCCCCCCGAAAATTCGTCTTGGAGCCGCCTTGTGTATGTAAATTTGTAATATTCTTCATTGATTGGTGATAAAATTTGGGATTCTCCTTATAACTTTTATTAATAACGTTAAATGACATGAGATGAGTTCTATCGACAACGAAAATTTTTTGAATTAATGACGATTGACATTTTGACAGATGACATTTATTGATGCCATAAAAGGAGTATTTTAAATTTACGTATTGCATAACAGTGGTATTTTATATTGATTTAAAATAAGTTTTGTTAGTAGTTTTGTAAATAAAAATAATTATTTTTGAAATGAAATTGTATGTTTTCTGTTATGTTCAAAATCGCACAATTAAATTTAAAATATTTCTTATACAAGTTATAAAAATAATTTTAAAACTCCAAAATGAAGAGTTTGATGGTTAATGGATCGCATCATCAGATCTTGGACAAATTTATATGGAATCACTACTGAAATACCCCCTTTCTAACAAAAACAGAATCATAGACAATGTGGTAAAGAGTTATCGTTGAAGCCGAGTAAAAAAGAAATCGGAAATAAAATGGAATTTATTTTGACAGAAAGAGATAGAAATTGTTTGTTTATGTTTACAAATATTCGTTGAATTGAAAACAAATGTCTGACTGCAATTAGCGCAAGTTCCTTATGTCATTGAAAAAATCTAATTATCCTTTATATTTCTACCTTCTGTCTAATTATAAGTTTGATTTTTAAAAATCAATTAATTCCTCTTATATTGCTGGAATTTCATATTGTTATTATTAATTTTTTGTTTTATGAAAAAGTAAATGTATTATAATTATTTAAAAGTTTAACTTATATCTCTTGTAAGGGCCTCGTAAGAAACAGTTATGTTCAATGTTCATGTCTTGTATAACGAAAAAAATAAAAAAAAAAAATGTACACATCTATAGATTGTTTTGAAAATTGTCTCAATTTTTGTTTACATTACATTTTTAAAATAAGAATATTTAAAGTATTTATATTTATACAGGATGTCCTAAAATACGAGTAATACAGTATGCATGGTGGGTAAATAAAGTGAGTGCATTCGATACACCCGCCATTCTCTTCAATGAATTTATACATATACGTTTCAAAAATGTCCCATGTTAAATAACACCAATAATTGAAAAAACCTGCTGCTACGATCTAGAAATTTATTTTCGTTAAAATTTTTTTATAGCTACTCTATTTAGATTTTCATCTCTTTTTTTTTCTCTAAATAATCAATCATTGCCAGCGTTGAAAAATGATCTGAGGTATCAGATTGGATTACATTAGCTTTACATTTTTCGTGTTTTGCACCTTTGACAAATAGTTCTGTGGCCAATATAAACAAGACTTTGAATTTCCCTTAATTTTGATGTACTGATTAATGTGTTATTTAAGTATTCATCGGGGTATTTATAGTTTGATTTTATATGTAACTAAAAAGTAAACATATTCGTTGGATTCAGTAAATTTAAAGTTATTCTTTATGATTTTTATTAAAATCAAACGTACCTGCTGATGGAGAAAGGCCTACCCCCAGAAATTACCGCAGTATAGTCCTGCATAATTAATGCCATCTTTTTCGCTCTAATACCTAATTTTCACTTGCAACATTTTCGGAAAACCTGCTTCGTCCCTCGAATGTCTCGAATTATCCGCATTCCTCCATCATCAGCATCATCATCGTCCTGATCCATCCATCCCACGGCGCATTCCGATCCGACAAGAGTAGCATCACCGTCGCGACGCTGTGAAGCTCTTCAGTCGAACATCAGTCGGCGTCGCGATACATTGAATTGTGGCGGCGTCGGGCGAGCGCCACTGGCATGTGAGCGTCGCGACGTTTATCGGCGTCGAGTTCGGTTTCAAATTCAAGGGTAGGAAGAACTACAGGTAGGCGATGAATTATTTATTAGTTGGACTTTACTGGAATTTTCTAGAGGTTATTTCAATTGTTATTTAAAATTGTAAAATGTTATTTCAAAAATATATAGACATAAAAATACAAATGGTAGCTAAAAATTATGAGAAATACTATGATTAAAGGTACATTCTATAAGAGTGCTCGATGAAAATAACTAAAAAATTCTACAATTATTTAAAAAGATTAGTATTATAAAGATAAGAAACAATAAAAGATACATAGAATTAAAACCAAACTAAGCCAAAAAGAGGTATCTAAAAAAACAACTTTTTTGATTTTTTTGCATCGGATAGCACTTCATTTGTATTTACTAAAAAGCTTAGGGGTATGCCTTATAGGCCACAAATAATAAACAAAAACAAATAATTTAAAGCAATCCGGCGGTACCTAAATTATTTTTGTCTACTCGAGGGAACGCGAAAACAACTTTTAGAAAATGTGTTTCTTTCTCGAAATTCGTTTTAACTGAGATACCGCTTTTAAGCTTCGAGCATGAAATATATATGCTCGAAGCTTTTAAGTCAAACTTCTGACACTTTCATATTTATTTTTAAATGTCTCGGTTTAGTAAAATTAATAATCAAAATATTGATCATTTGATCGATAAAAACACACCAATAAATACCGTTAGCAGAAAAAAATATGTACATGGAAACTATTTATACAATTTTATGAGATTAGAAAATGTGTTAGATTCAAATGGAAGTATTTAAGACCTAACATTGATACTGAAGGACTGGGCAGTAAATATGAGAAAAGAAGATGATACCGATTTAAAGAATGTACAGTCAACACTTGGAATCGAATGTACAGTCAAGACTTTATGGACTGTAACTAGTAAGTTACTTTTTATTAAATAAATGAGTTAAAAATGCCAAAAATTTTCTGACCGAATACCCCTCTAGTGTCCAGATAGCACAAATGCGTCTTATGGACGTTCTAAAAACGTCCTGCTTGGACATTCAGGACATCCTTACAACGTCTATTTCACGGACGTGGACGTCTTATGGACGTCTTTGGAACGTCCATTGTTAATAACCAGGATGTCTTAAGAACGTCTATTTCAGAACATTCCATGGACATTTTCAAGAGCTCAAATAGAGAAATACAAGATATTTAGGAAAATTAGTGAAAATAATGAAACATTTCAAAAAAATTTATTTGGTTGCAAATAACCTATGAATAATAAAATTATTAAAACTTTTTGTCAAATTCATCCCGTCTCTCCTCTACTTTGCCCTTTTCAACCATGCCTGGATTGACAGCACTTCAGTTTTTTTCTTGATTTGGCCATATTTACCTTCTCAGCTAAACGCGAAAATAAATTAATCGCTTCCAATACAGCACAAAAATATTTCAACAATGTTACATTGAAACATTTGCAATGTTGTATAAATATTACGAAACATCCCCCAAACATTTCTGAAATGCCTGAAACGAAAAAATGTCCTCTAAATATAATATTTCACAGTAATATTTCTGACATGAAAATTAGAAATCTTTTAGAAATATTAAATAGTAATATTTCAGAAATATTAAATAGTAATATTTCAGAAATGTATTCTATTTTTTTTCTAATATATTATTAGACTAAAAAAAAGACATTTAAAAATATATATGTTTATTTGAAATACACAAAACCCAAACATTGATTTTAAACAAACAAACAAATAAATATGTTTTAAACAATATTTCATAAAATATAGAAGTGACTTGCTTCATTTCCA